TACATGCAACGTTAATAAAAACAATAAATAAAAGTGAAAGAGGTAACTATTGTGTTTTTCACATTTCATCAGCGAATAACAATATGTCAATATATAGTAAACATAACCTCACTCTGGAACCAACTCTTTTTTCTTCTTTTAGTTGACTGTTTTCTGCACTGCAGTGATATTTTTAATTGCAAATTTAACTGCGTGTTTTTATGTTTAAATTTGATACCAATTTTGCACCGGACACATTTTCTTCTCTCTATAAAAACATGAGCAAAAGTAAAGTTTTAACACATGTTAATAGAACAGGGCCGAAACTTTTAAAATTGGTGAACTGTCATGGTTGCTGCGCAGGCGCATTCGCGACTTCCGAATTGAAATGAAAAGGTCTATTAGTAATATGTTTTATAAATAATAATAAATTGTTCACAAATAAAAATAATCATACTTCCAACAAATTAAAAAAAGTTAATTTTATTCTAAAAATTTTACAATAATCTCGATTATACAGTTAATAAAAATGAATTAAAATTTGAAAGTTTAAACCAAAAATGAAGGATTTATTTTTCTTAAAACATCAACAAACAATAAAATATTTAAAAATTTTAAGCTCTCCGGACAATTTCTTAAGTTTTTGACAATATTAATGTTCTAAAAATATAAGAAAAATGGGGTAAAAGTTACTAAATCAAGTTCATTTTTATTCAAAATATATATATATATATATATAAACAGTTAATAAAATAAATTTTTTCTTTTAATACCGGAATTAATTTTTATTTTTACACAAATGTCTATAAACTTCAAAAGTTATATTTAATGTTCATAAATTTGAAATCTAAGTTTTATCATTTATATCACTTATAAAAATTTACAATTTTTTTTAAACTGTGAGCGATTAATTTTATTAGTGCAAATGATAAATAATATTAAAAACAATTTCTTGTATTATTATTATTATTATATTGTTATATTATTTTTTTTACTATTTATTTATATACTTAAATAATTGGATTCATTTTTTCACTGCAATAGAATAAATTGTGGAAAATTTGAAAAAATTAAAATTAAAAAAGATTAAAAAATTAAAAACCAAGTTCAATGGACAATAATAAATATAATCTATTTTAAAAAAACCATAAAATCCCTTTTCTGATCCAAATGATTGAAATAAAGTTATTATTAATACAAAAAAAAAATAATAGAAGTGAGAGAAAAATAAATTTCTATAAATTCGAATTATACACTAATAATGAAATTGATTCCGAGAATAATAATTTCTAATTTCTCCGTTCTAATTTCACGAGAATTAAATTTGTTATATATTACTAAGAAAACTAATAACCATTAATAATAATCAAAATGCCCTCGTTCTACGTCATCCAATGGCAATTAGAAAACAATTTTTTTTCAACACTCTTCCTAAAGTAATCAAAGTTAAAAATTTTCCCGACAATTGAGAATATTAAATTTTAATTGTGAGATATTGAATATATATGTAACCATCTTTTTCCCCTTGGGAAACATTATATCATTTTATTAAATGAACGACGCAATTATCTTTTTTATTCGGGATAATTCGTTCAACTATTTACATTTCTACGGATGTAAACGAGGTAACGTTCACACGAAGCCTCTCCCTATTTGACAAGTTGCGCACAATCACACGACAACTACTTTAAAATTTTCCCAAGTTCACTCCAAAATGGAAACGAAAGAAAAAAAACTTCCAACCACCTAATAGAAAAAGTTTTATTTCACCCCGAATACATTTAATTCAAATTAAAATTGTCTCTCTCGTTATCAAAATCAAAATCACTGAACTCGAAAAATTCAATTAACATTTTTATATTAAGAAAAAGAATTATCAAAAAAATTGTTATCAACCACATTTTTTTACAAAAATGTATGCTTATTTTCTTTTGGAAAAAAATTCCCATAATTTCTATTGATTAATCACGATTTTTAAGGAAATTATAATTTTTCTTAGAAATAAATTTAAGAAATGAATAATAAGAATGTAATAATAATAAATAATAAGTAAAATATAATTAATAGATTATAATTAATAATCGAATTTATTTGAAAAGAAATATTTTTGAAAATTAATTTTTGAACGTTTAAGAAATAGTTAAAGAAATTAATTAAATAGTCCATAAATTAATTAAAAGAAGAAGAAATTGGTTTAAAAATAAATGAAATTAATTTCCTTTAATAAGAGAGCGTTTTATAGGGGACCCCATAAGCTCGACACTAAACTCATTGATAATGAAGTGAGGTTTACAGTGAAGATAATTAGTTAATAAATTGTTGAAGATTAATGTGCGAGCCGCGGTTCTGACATTTGTCAATTAACTGGGGGGCGTTTTAGGATTTGCCAATATACACTCTTCTCCCAAACTAATATAAGCTTCCCAAGAAATGAATGACAAAACGAGCGATGAGCCTATATCATCAAAAAAGCGCAGACGCAATACACATTCTCAATATTATCCATCGCAAGATTGAAAATTTTCCTGTTTATTCTTAAAATATCATTTTGAAAACTCCATGAAATGTTGATCTTCATTTTTCCATTTTTGAAGAGAATCAAAACAGCCAGTCGATCAAGTTCTTCTTCTTCTTAAATATTTCGTTTCATTTGGCAAAATAAACAGGGCGAAATATTTGCCAAATAAAAATTATTAATTATTTTCGAAAACTTCCAACTTGTTTTTAATGAATTTTCAAGAGAAAAGAAACGTGTAGACTAAATAGATTTTTCGATTTTTTTCAGATTGAAAAGATGAACGTGAACGTTATCCCCGGTTTATTTATTCAAAGACAAAAGTCAAAGATGTGAACACACAAATATTATATGGTCGGTGCATTAAACTTGTTCAGACATTCAGACACGGGGTCAGAATTGCGAACGAGGCTTTTCAGACACTCACAAAACTTGACGACTCAAAAGAAATCCCATGGAGCTTAAAGGTCTTTGAAAGACAAAAAAAAGTTGAAGCAAAAACTTTCTTAATCCCACGTGAATTTCTGAAACTTTCCATTAAAAAAAAACTTAATTTTCGAAAAATACCATTTTTCTCTTAAATTTTATCCTTTTAAATAATTTTTCTACTCTCAGATTTTTGCTAATTGAAGTTTCAAAATTAAATTTTAAAACAGACACTAAATTTCCTAATTTCTTGTAATCAAAACTGAAAAAGATAAAAATTTTATAAACTAACAAAATTTGCTTTACAAAATGACAAAGAAAAGTGAAAAATAGAAAAAAAATTCCCGAAAAGCTTGACAATATCTGATTTTAACAAATGATTCTAAAATGTCAGAAATAATTTATCTTTCGTTGCAAAATTTTTGGCAAAAGTTCTGATTAAACCAAAAATAAACGTTTTTGGCGGCAAAAATATTCATAATTCTCCAACAATGTTTTTAATGCTTTCCGTCACGGTTTAATGGAATATTAAGAGTTACACGAATCACAGTCGACGCTAAAGGGAAAATCTTCCTTCCTATCTTTTTAACACACTTCTCGTTTCAACTAAAAACAAATAAACCACAACTAATATTTATTATAAATTATCCTTAAATTTCAACTTCAACAAATGTAAATTAATTAATAAATGAAAAGGTAAATAAAAAATTAATAAAAGTTGTAGAAAAGTAAATAGAAATTTAATAAAAGTTAATAATGAACAGAATTAAAAAAATTATTTTAAACTTTAAACAGAAAGTACGAAATTAAAAACATTAATAGAAAATTAATATAAAAGTAAAGGGAAAATAAATAAAAATAAAATATAAAAAGTTAATGATAAAAATTAATAAAAAATATAAAATCTGGAAAACGAATGCGAAACAGATGAATAAAAATTAAAAGAAGTAAATACTATCTAAATGAATATAAAATATAGAGAAAAAATACAGAATAAAACTGAATATGAACCAGGGAAAAATAAATTTAAAAAAATAGAAAATGAATACAAAAAGGCAGAAAAAATGCAAATATAAGAATAAAACAAAATACGAAATAAATAAAAAAAATAACAAAAAACTATACAATGAAAAACTAAATAAATATAATTTAAATATATCATGAAAAAAAATTAACAAACAAAACAAACTTCAAATTAGTCTTAATTCAACTTTGAAAGAAATTTTCAAAATTCTACTTTGCAAATAAATCTCAATTATCCAAAACGAATTCAAATTTCAAAGGGAACCGGCAATAGAAAATAATTCATAAAAAAAAATGCTAATCGAAACTAAAAAGAAAAAAATTGAAAAAGAAAAAGGGTCAACACCTATTATGGTTTGTTGCTTCACAAAGGATCGGCCGGTAATGTTTACGTGCAGGCAGTTACATTGATAAAATAATGTAATTACGAATCGCCGTCTATGTCCGCGGAATTGAACGTTTAACGTCACACTGAAAGTCCAGCTACACCTTTATAAACGATTCTAGATTCAAGCCTGCGCATTTTCCCCTAACTAAAACTCACGTTCTTGCGTTCACAATATTCAGAGTTTGTGGCTTCTGCCAAAAAAGAAAAAAGGAATAAAATCTATAGCTAACAAATTTGAAGGTCGTGGTCGTCCAGGAAGCCTGCGTAAAGAATCCTGCTTTATCCTCTTCTCTTTCATGTTCCCTTTTTTTCTCCTTCTTTTCCTTCAATTACAATCAACTTCCAATGATGAAATGGTCCTTAAAATCTATTTTTATATATTTTTTTCCTATGACGCAAGTGACGATTCACACACAACCCTCCAATAGAACGTCAATTCTAGGGTTTGATTTAATCAATTGTTTTTACAAACAAAAATGAATGAAGAAAAAAGAAAAGAAAAATATATATACAATATCAAGAAAAAACTTTCTTCAATTTTTGGAAAATTGAAAAATGAAAAAAAGTAAAAATTTTGTTTGTATAAAAAAAATTTGTAAATTTGTAAAAACGAAATTTTTACTAAATTGTAAATGACAATTTCTAATAAAGAAATGAAAAAATACTCACTTTGTTTTGGATAGATTTGGATCACTGGTTTTTCGCTTTTCCCGTACTTGTCTCTGTAAAACAAAAATTACCAATACATAATAATAATTTGCTATTCCGTGAACAGAAAGTGTCGTCTTTTGTTTTTCTATAATAATTAATGTTTTGATAGATAATTTTGGTTATGAGTATTCTCATATGTGTGATAACCACTTGACGTATAGAAATTTTTTTTCAAATTGAAGAAAAATGATCAAGACGTGCCTCTATTCAACTGATGTTTAAAATGGTAAATACATGTAATTTTTTCAAGAAATCATTATCATTTTGTAATTCTTATAAATTTAATGAAATTCTCAAACTTAGTATTTTTATTTCTTTTGGCAAATTCAGTCTCCTTTAAAATGATAATTCAATAAACTTTTAAAAAATCCCGTATTTTCTACATTTTTTAATACTCTTGCCCTTCCGGTTACGCAGAATTGGGTACTTTGTATTTATTTAAGAAAAAATAATACTTATAAATTCTATTAAAAATTTCTTTCCTTCAATTATTAACATTTCAATGTTTTCAATATATTTTTCGGATGAATACTAACAATTATTAGGGTAGGCGAACACTTTTTCTAAAAAAATATGTATTTTCTACTCCTTTTTGTCTAAAAAGGGCGATTTCTAATTAAATCTGTTTTCTAAAAAAAGTTTTTCTAAAAAGTTATAATTTCTAATATTTATTTTCCTAAAATTTCTAAAATTCCATAATTTTGATAAAAATTAGAAAATTGTTAAAAACTTAAGTTTAAGAAATAGTAACTATATTACATATTTTCTGTTTCTTAATCACTATTCTGTTTTCAAAATTATAAGTTTCTTTTTGAAAATGAAGAAAAAATATTATAAAATTACTATTTCTTATCAGAATTTGTTAACAAAATTCTGTTCTTCTTTGAAAAAAAAATAATTTGCATCATTTTTACACAAAAATTTCCAAAGTTAATATATTTATAAAAAATTTTAAATATCTTTAGGAAAAAAATCTCTATAATTTCTATTTGTTAATTACGATATTTTTAACTGGATTATTTTAAAATTTTGTTAAAAAATTTGCATAATTTATATTTTTTATTATAATTTTTTAACGAAATCTCAAGTATTTTTTTTAAAGAATTAACAAATTTTCGTAAATTTTATTTTTTAATCATATGTACCTATTGATCGTGATTACAAAAATTGAATATTGTTAGAAAAAAGAAAATTTTGAAAATTACCTTTATAAGAAAATAAATTTTTTGAAAATTACCTTTATTAGAAGACAGAAAACTGCAAAATCACCTTTATTACACAGGTTTACAAATTAAAAACTTTTTTTTGCCAATCGAACAAAACAATTTTTTCTCGAATAGTAGGTGTTTTTTGAGTAAGAAAATCATAGTTTTAATTTTTTTCCCTCGTGCAGTTTTTCTGTAGCTTCAAATTTTGCATTTTCGAGGTGCGACGCCACTTAAACTTACCTGTAGGAAAGTTAGCTTGTCAAAATATAATAAATGAGGTATCATTGGAAAGGTTATTAAATTACCTTTCGATCCATAGGTCACAGAATAAAATTTAACAAAAATTGAGAGAGTTACAGTCGATTAAAGATGAAATTTCATGACAATTTTGATGATTTTTAGACATTTGAGTAACTTCTACTATTTTTTTCTACGTCAAACAGGAAAGAATGTTTAGGTTTTAATTTTTTTATTGATAGACTATATCATTACACAAATTTTGAGCCCTTGTGGACCTCGATTGGATTAAAAATGACAATTCTACACTAAATTTAGTGAACGAAACTACATTCTTCATTTTTAGTATCTTTTAAACATTTGCAGCAAAAATTGAAGTAATAAAATTTAGTTAAGCTCTAAAGTTACTAAAATCACTAATAAAGGATTTCTGAAATCGTAGATTTCGAATCCAATGTTAGTTTTCTAAATTTCAAAATGGCGGATCCAATATGGCGGACAAGTTTTTAAAAATCGATTAAATTCGTCTTAAATTCGTTACTCGGGGGTTTTCGGGGTCGCTGATTACGAATCTGATGTCGGATTTCGAAAATTGAAAAGGATGGATTCATAATAGTGAACGAGTTTTTTAAAATCCATCGAATTCGCACCTATTGGATCCGCCATTTTTAATTTTTGAAATCTGACATCAGATTCGTAATCAGCGACCCCGAAAACCCCCGAGTAACGAATTTAAAACGAATTTAATCGATTTTTAAAAACTTGTCCGCCATATTGGATCCGCCATTTTGAAATTTAGAAAACTAACATTGGATTCGAAATCTACGATTTCAGAAATCCTTTATTAGTGATTTTAGTAACTTTAGAGCTTAACTAAATTTTATTACTTCAATTTTTGCTGCAAATGTTTAAGGGATACTAAAAATGAAGAATGTAGTTTCGCTCACTAAATTTAGTGTAGAATTGTCATTTTTAATCCAATCGAGGTCCACAAGGGCTCAAAATTTGTGTAATGATATAGTTTATCAATAAAAAAATTAAAACCTAAACATTCTTTCCTGTTTGATGTAGAAAAAAATAGTAGAAGTTACTCAAATGTCTAAAAATCATCAAAATTGTCATGAAATTTCATCTTTAATCGACTGTAACTCTCTCAATTTTTGTTGAATTTTATTCTGTGACCTATGGATCGAAAGGTAATTTAATAACCTTTCCAATGATACCTCATTTATTAAAAAAATAAATATAAAATAATATATATATATATATATATATATATATATATATATATATATATATATATATTATATATTATTATATATAATATTTTTTTAAGCTTATTTTCCTACAGGTAAGTTTAAGTGGCGTCGCACCTCGAAAATGCAAAATTTGAAGCTACAGAAAAACTGCACGAGGGAAAAAAATTAAAACCATGATTTTCTTACTCAAAAAACACCTACTATTCGAAAAAAAATTGTTTTGTTCGATTGACAATTTCACTGTAAACCAGTGTTAGAGAAAAGTTTTTTAGAAATTCCCCTTTATTAGAAAAAATTTTTTTTTAGAAAATACGATTTAGAAAAACTATACGCCAATCATTATTAGAAACAATAAGAATGAAAATTAAAATATTTGAAAAAATTATAATTTAAATATTTTGAGTTTGAATTTTATTACATTTATATGAGCTTAAAAAATGTTTGAAGGATTTCATGAGAAAATTACATGTATAAAAATTACATTTGAAACTTGAGTTGAGTAGAGGCATCTTTTTCACTTGGTAATTATATTTATTTTAATAACAGAAGCCATTAAAAAAATCGCAAAGGATTCAAGGCAAGGAAAGTAGTAATTTTAATTTTTTTCATTATAATTTCCACGCCTTGGAAGCAATTTTTTTCGTTTGCTAATTATTTATTTTAATGTTAGAAGTCGTTAAAAAATTTGCAAGAGGATCGAAGGAGGGGAAAGCAGTGATTTTGATTTGTTTTCAATAATGATTTATTTTATATTCTAGGATTTCTGAAAAATCCGTGACAGAAAATAAAAATCACTGCTTTCCCCGCCTTGGATCCTCTTGCAATTTTTTAAATGGCTTCTGAGGCGTGGAAATAATAATTTATTTGAAAAACCGAGATTTTTTAAAAAATCATAACTATTATAAACATGGAACAATATAAGTTAAATTTATTAAACTTTTTCTGTGGAAGGCAGGTAGGAAGATTGCTACCGTGATAATTCTATAAATCATTCACGCGCGCATTGCGCGCGTAGGATTTTGCTAGTACATAATAATAATTTGCTATTCCGTAAACAGAAAGTGTCGTCTTTTGTTTTTCTATAATAATTAATGTTTTGATAGATTATCTTGGTTATGAGTTACGCAGAATCGGGTACTTTGTATTTAATTCAGAAAAATAATACTTATAAATTCTATTAAAAATTTCTTTTCTTCAATTATCAACATTTCAATGTATTCAATATATTTTTCGGATGAATACTAACAATTATTAGGGTAGGCGAACACTTTTTCTAAAAAAATATTTTCTAATCCTTTTTGTCTAAAAAAAGGCGATTTCTAATTAAATCTGTTTTCCGAAAAAGTTTTTCTAAAAAGTTATAATTTCTAATGTTAATTTTCCTAAAATTTGTAAAAATTCCATAATTTTGATAAAAATTAGAAAATTGTTAAAAAATTAAGATTATGAAATAGAAACTATTTTACATATTTTCTGTTTCTCAATCACAATTCTGTTTACAAAATTATAAGTTTCTTTTTGAAAATGAAGAAAAATTTTTATAAAATTACTATTTCTTATCACAATTTGTTAACAATATTCTGTTCTTCTTTGAAAAAAAATAATTTGCATCATTTTTACACCAAAATTTTCAAAGTTAATATATTTATAAAAAAATGTTATAGAAAATTTTAAATATCTTTAAGAAGAAAATCCCTATAATATTTCTATTTGTTAATTACGATTTTTAACTAGATTATTCTAAAATTTTGTTAAAAAATTTGCATAATTTATATTTTTTATTATAATTTTTTAACGAAATCTCAAGTATTTTTTTAAAAGAATTTACAAATTTCCGTAAATTTTATTTTTTAATCATATGTACCTATTGATCGTGATTACAAAAATTGAATATTATTAGAAAAAAGAAAATTTTGAAAATTACCTTTATTTGAAGACAGAAAATTTCCTTTATTAGCAAAAAAATTTCTTAGAAAATATGATTTAGAAAAACTGTACCCCAACCATTATTAGAATCATATATGAATGAAAATTAAAAGATTTAAAGAAATTATAATTTAAATCTTTTGAGTTTAAATTTTATTACATTTATATGAGCTTAAAAAATGTTTGAGGGATTTCATAAGAAAATTACATGTATAAAAATTACATTTGAAACTTGAGTTGAGTAGAGGCATCTTTTTCACTTGGTAATTATATTTATTTTAATAACAGAAGCCATTAAAAAAATCGCAAAAGGATCCAAAACAAGGAAAGAAGTAATATTTATTTTTTTCACGGATTTTCTTCAAACCTCGGTATTTAAACTAAATTATAATTTCCACGCCTTGGAAGTAATTTTTTTCGTTTGCTAATTATTTATTTTAATGATACTACAAGTCATTAAAAAATTTGCAAGAGGATCGAAGGCGGGGAAAGCAGTGATTTTGATTTTTTTCAATAATGATTTATTTTATATTCTAGGATTTATGAAAAATCCGTGATAAAAAATAAAGGTCACTGTTTTCCCCGCATTGGATCCCCTTGCAATTTTTTTAAGTGGCTTCTGAGACGTGGAAATGATAATTTAGTTCAAATATCGAGATTTTTTAAAAAATTAGAACTATTATAAACATGGAATAATATAAATTAAATTTATTAAACTTTTTCTGTGGAAGGCAGGTAGACAGATTGCTACCGTGATATTTCCTTAAATAATTCACGCGCGCGTAGGATTTTGCTAGTTAATAATAAAATTCATATCAGTATGTACTACACGGAGAAACTTTTAATACCACTAATTCTTAAAACTGGTGAGACATTTTAGTATGTTAGGTTAGATTCAAGGTAAAAACGACATAGGTTATAGAAATTGCTATTGAGACTATCAAAAACACTCATTCAGTATATATTTTACAGTTCTTCATAAGGAAACTAACGAAAATTAGTATGTTGTTTTAGAAAGAAAATAATAATTTTTGCAAAGTTGGGAAAGCCATGAATTAAAAAGAAACACAACAAATTAATTGTCTATAGATACTCATAGAGACGATAGTGATACTTGGATCTGATGGTAGATGGCATTAGTGTATGTCACTGTAACTGTAGGTAAATATATTTAACACGACGTAAGAACCTAACCTATATTATTAACGCACACACGCACACGCAAGTAGACACGACGATTGGTCACGGAAACCGAAAGATCGCACGATTCGTTAGAAGTACACAGCTGAATCGTCCTTATATATTAAACGAGTGGAAAAATATGTGCCTTCGAGAGAGAGCATTTTTTAAAATAACTTACTAATCAAATTATGTAAATAAGTAAAAGTCGTGAAAAAAATTATGTTATATTGAGGAACAGTTCTTGAATTTAATTTGGCATGAGGAGACATTCACGTTTATTAATAAAAGGATTTTTTCTTTCATACACGTGTGAATTTCAACTTCGAAAACATTAGGGTTAGTTCGCGACGTCAGGTGATGGACTCGGTGATGCTCGGGTGAAATCGGTTAAGTCCGCCCGCAGTCCTTCCAAAATTGGTATGTTACGTTAGAATGTCTCTTATATATTCTATCTATATGTGTAAAAAAGGTTAGAATTACCGTATTATTTCACAAACAAAAAATGGCATCTTATTCTTTTCTAAAGAAAAATAAGACTATTTCTAATGCAGATAGTAATTTTTGTACACCGAAGGTTGCTTAATATATAACGAACTTATCATATTTTCGTATTAATGTTGAAATTATTAGCACAACGCACGAAAAATCCTCACATTCTAACGTACTTTTAGAATAAACATAACCAAATATATTTAATATTATAAGAAAAAGTTTCTCCGTGTATATATAAATTAATAATTTTTCAAACGCAAAACGTGATTGCAATATTTACATGAAATACAAGTTTTTAAAATTTGTCTATTACTTGAAAAAAATAAAATGAAACTAAAAACAAAGCAAAAAATATTTTCTCGAACCGCAATTAATTGAAATAATTCGTAAATTAATTGGAACAATAATTAACAAATAACAACTGATTCTACTACTGATTAAAATGATCGTTATTTGAAAAAAACTATTATCCATAAGTAACACTTTCAATTTCAATTAAAAATCATTTGTCGAGGAAAACATTCTCATCCAATGAAAAATAAATTCAAATAAAATTGGAAATTTCAACAGTTTATGAAAACTCTATTAACGAGTGGAATTTCAGAAAAAAAATAAATTCACATCAAATGAATATTCGAAATTTGGAAAGCGAATAAAGAGATAAATAAATGAAAAGGAAGAGAAAATAATTGTTACAATAGATAAATATATACAGTCAACTCTACGAATAGTGCCGCTATCAATAGTGCCACTTCTCCTCTTTCTCGCTCGAGCTCTATCCCCACTTTAGTGACTCAGCACGGCTTCTGAATTTCGAGTTTCCCCTAAGAGAGAAATATACAAACAGTGGGGGTACTACAGTTCCAAGAAAAGTCGTAAACGCTGTGCAATTTTGCGGCACTGTTGATAGAGTTGACTGTATATGCCAAAATTGAAAAAATAATTGGAAAAATGAAAAAATATTGTGAAAATTATTTCAATCGAAATTGAAAGTTTTATTGAAAAAATAAAGAGAAAAAAGGAAAGGACGGAAAAAATTTTTAAAAAATTATCTGTGAATATGGAGATTTTTACAACAAAATAAAATGAGGTATTGTAAAGATTAAAAAACAATTCCGAAAAAAATAAAAATTCTTGGTATTTTTTACCTTGTGATGTATCCGCTCCTTGTAACTTTCAGACCTGTTTATGTTTGATGTCTTTGGCTTACTGGATATATGTTGCTGCACCCTAAACAATCGTAAATAATAAAAAATTAATTTCTGAAAAAACGTTAAAATTATGCGATTTAACAGTAATTATAAAATATTTTACAATTTATGGGAACAATTAATTATCCCGGTAGTACAAATACCAGAAAAACAAATCACATTTAGAAAGTTTAAACACTATTTAAATTTTTCTTGCGAATTATTAACTATAGAAGGGTGTTATCACCCAGAATAAATGTCCGGAGTTATGTGACATTCTGCTAATTTTTGTGGTGTCCATATTTAAATTTTTTTTCACCCTACTTTTGAAAATTTTTTCGTAAAAGAAAATATCAATTTTGAAGTATATTTTTTGCATTTATTCTCACCGCAATTTTTTTACTTCATTATTGGGGTCCCCTTAGGAGATACCTAAATGTATTTGCTAAATATCTTTAGTCAGATTTTTTATATTTGTTGTTAAAGCCAAAAACGCACCCTGGGGCGAAAAGTTAAATGTATTTTTACATGTTGTTAAAATTTTTTTTTTATTTTTCGTTTTTTTGGGTTTCTTTGTTTAAAAATGATTTATTTGACATTAGGCAAGTACTCTATCAAAAAACAAGACCGCTGACGTGAAATAAACCAAATTTTTTTTTTTTTTTGAAATTTCAATTTATTAACTTTATAACTATTCTAAAGCTTTTGTTAAGTAAACAAAGATCTTTTATTAACTAAATTACTTGTTTACGTATACTTTAACTTATCTACTACTCAACACCTATCAGAAAATAGTTTTAGTAGGCTAAAAATAGAATTTAACTTTTTGCCCCAGCCATTTAACTTTTCGCCCCAGCATGGGGCGAAAAGTTAAAAAAAAAAAAATTTTCAAAAAAGGACAAAACATGTATTGTATGCGAAAATATCAGAAACTTTTTTATTGAAAGTTGTAGGGGACAAGTTGCCCTACAATATTAATGTATAAATATTTGCATCTAAGAGGATTATATTGTCTAAAAAAAATCATTTATGCAAAATTTAACTTTTCGCCTCAGTCTCCGCGCTATTAAATCAATATTTAAATTATTACTTTTTGTCATTAATTCAATAAAAATAGATAAAAATTGAAATCCATTTGGGTCAAACCATTTTATTTCGCCTAATGTATTTTTGACCTTTATAAAAAATTTCAATACTTCGGGAAAATATTCTTACATGTTTTGGGATTACGAAATGCACAATGATTTGTAAAAAATAATTTCATTTCATATAAAAAAAGATATTATAAATTGAGAGTACATGAAAAAAGGTTACATTGACAGGCATTACAAAATATTTAAAAAAGGAGTAATCTCTTTAAGAAATATAAAAAAAGCGATTGCTATTTATTTTTAAAGACTTAATTTGTGATTTGAACTTGATAAAAGTATCAAATAATTTATAATAAACTGTAAAATATGTTATTTAAGTTTCTGTATGAAATGTAAAAAATCGATCATATTTAACAATTTTTTTTGACAAAGTAATTTAATTTTCGTAAATCAGAATTATTTAAATAATAAGTATTTTAAATACACTTTATTATTATTTAAATACTTTTTTGATTATCAACTGAGAAATATAAAAAAATTTACCTTAAAAATGAACCATTCTTCATTTTATCGGGATTTTGAATGTTTGTAACTTCGTTGGAGAAAACCCGATTTATGCCAAATTTTTGGAGCATGTTGATTGAAACAATATCTTCCTGCTACTAAAATTTCGCGATGGGTTTTGCACTTGTTTTCAAAAAAAAATTGATTTAAAAAAGTGTTTATTTTGAAGGTTAATGACAAGTATTATAGCTGACTTGAAGTTGGTTTGCTACTTGCAATAAAAGTCAAATTCAAAATAAAACGATTTTTTTAAAGTCAGTTTAAAACAAACCAACTTCAAGTCAGCTATAATACTTGTCATTAACCTTCAAAATAAACACTTTTTTTAAATCAATTTTTTTTTGAAAACTAGTGCAAAACCCATCGCGAAATTTTAGTAGCAGGAAGATATTGTTTCAATCAACATGCTCCAAAAATTTGGCATAAATCGGGTTTTCTCCAACGAAGTTACAAACATTCAAAATCCCGATAAAATGAAGAATGGTTCATTTTTAAGGTAAATTTTTTTATATTTCTCAGTTGATAATCAAAAAAGTATTTAAATAATAATAAAGTGTATTTAAAATACTTATTATTTAAATAATTCTGATTTACGAAAATTAAATTACTTTGTCAAAAAAAAATTGTTAAATATGATCGATTTTTTACATTTCATACAGAAACTTAAATAACATATTTTACAGTTTATTATAAATTATTTGATACTTTTATCAAGTTCAAATCACAAATTAAGTCTTTAAAAATAAATAGCAATCGCTTTTTTTATATTTCTTAAAGAGATTACTCCTTTTTTAAATATTTTGTAATGCCTGTCAATGTAACCTTTTTTCATGTAGGGGAGAAGGCCCCAAGGTGGTCAGGGCCCTAAGGTGGTCACCCTAAGAAAATTTTTGTATATTAGTTAGTATCTTCAAATAATGTTTTTTGTTATTGTTATTATTTGAGAAGACAAAGATTTTAGTAAAGTTTTGAGGTAAATAGTCGTATTAGTCTCTTTGTAACATGAACGTCGTAAAATTTCTGTTTTTAAATGATCAAGAAATTTTTTTCTCAGGGTGTTAAAATCATCGAAATTAACCATTTTAAATTAGTAAAAATCGTTATAATTATCTTTATATATCGTACAATAATATTCCAAATGAATATAATTAATACAGTCAGGTCTCGCTAAGTGTCGTCACTGGGAATTTTTTGAGACCGTCTGTCTCAGTAAGTGTCAGTGGCCTAAGCCACGCCCCTTTAATAAAAGTGGCCATTTCATTGGTTTATGTTGCAAACCGGTTTGGGGAAGTCCATTTTTAGCATTGGAGAGGGTAAAAAAAAGTGGGAAAAGTGACACTTGTTGGGTCTTGAACGATGACACTTTGTGAGTCATGACACTTACTGAAAACGACACTTGGCGAGACCTGACTGTATTGTACTTTAAAAAATTTTTTCATTGACGTTTAAAAAATTGTGTCTTGGCCCTAAGGTGGACACTTTTTTGGCCACAAGGTGGTCACTTTTGATTTTTTATGAAAATGTGTTTATACGCCATATTTATCAACATTTATCACTGTGAATGTGAATTTTATCAATTTTTAAGTTTTATGATAAATAATAATAATGAAATAGAATTATTTTCAAAATTTTACCTATCTAATACATACACAAAAAGTATCATTTTTGACGAAAGGACAAAGTGCAAAAAAAAATGTAATATGTTTCTGTGATCCTGAAAAACAATTAATATTAAATAAGCAACTTAGTAATACGTTTTTTACATTTTTTTAAAACTTTTTTAGTGAATTTTTGTATGGTGACCACCTTGGGGCCACTTTTTTAAAAGTCGAATTTTCAACTTTTTTCAAAAAGTGCCATAACTTTTTTTTATTAATGAAATAAAAAAAACTTTATGATAGGAAGTTAGGTAATAAGATAAAGTTTCAAACGCCGTACTATTGACCTTTATATATAATTCCATTTGAAATCTACAGTCGTTCAAAAGATGGGTGACCACCTTAGGGCCCTCTCCCCTACTCTCAATTTATAATATCTTTTTTTATATGAAATGAAATTATTTTTTACAAATCATTGTGCATTTCGTAATCCCAAAACATGTAAGAATATTTTCCCGAAGTATTGAAATTTTTTATAAAGGTCAAAAATACATTAGGCGAAATAAAATGGTTTGACCCATTTTAATGAAAATAAAAAAAAATGTTAAGTTAGTAACAATCTAACAAAATTTATTAGAGGCAATAAGTAATTTATTTCCTATACGGAAAGAAAATAAATTTTTAATTTTATAAAAGTATTTTACAATTTAAGAAAAAAATTCGACAAAACAGAATTTAAAAAAAAACCTTCAGGAAATTTGTATAGTTATATCAAATATCAAAATCATTAAAAGAGTTGCCACAAAAATTTGATTTCGTTTTTTCCTGACTTTTCCTATAATTCTCAGCAGAATTTTGTATTTTCCGTGTAAATAAAAATAAATTAAGTTTCAAACTTTTTCAAATTCTACTCTCTAAATATAAATATAAATTAGTAAAAATTTCTACAAATTTTGAATAAATTTCCACTAAAAATTTAATAACAAATTTAAACTATTTATTAATTTATTAGGGGAGGGTGGTCCCATACCGACCCCCTAAAGTGCAAAGGCTAAAAATGTGCCATAATGTGTTCGTCAAAATTTTTTTGAGTAAAGGAACTATTTTTCAATGTTTTCTGACGGTTGCCGAGGTTTCTGATTGTCATTAATAAAAGATCTAAAGAAAAAGCGAAAATTTACATTTTTAACTTTTTCAAAATGGGTGGTCCGAAACCGACCCCCCATTTTTTTGGGGAAAATCTCAAGAATAATCAAGATATCAAATTCTGATAGTAATTAAAATAAAATTCAACAGTCTGTAATGAACTGTTAAATTATTTTGACTTCATTTAAATACATTTTTGGACCTTTTTCTGAACAAAAAGGTAAATAAATGAATCATTAGTAACTTTACTCTGAGATTATTTATGTCTTTAAGTTATGTTGACATAGTTAAACTTAAATTAATATTATTACTTTATTTAAATAAATTTTAAGGCCTTTTTTAAAATGATAATAAATATAAATTGTTAAACAGTGTCTAAATTTCCAATATAATAGCAGCAATGGTTTTGCCTGTTTTAATTTTCGCCCTATTTCTAGTAAAATATATACGAATTTTGTTATTAATTCTTTTTCGTTTTCGTACTTAACTGCTTCCAAAGATTTTGGTATTTTGGTATTTTCAAAGTTTATAAGGCAAACAAAAAGAAATTCAAGAAGAATTAAATTAATAATAAATAATATTTTCCCAGTACTTTTAATAAAATTCCCTGATTTTACCCTGACTAATTTTACTTTTCCTTGAATTTCCTGATTTGTGGCAAAGCTGATTAATCAAATTTTAAATTAATTAAATTAAATTTGATGCAATTTTTAAAGTTTAGTATTTTTATATCAAAAATTCGCTTCGTCGCATTTTCTCTCCAAATTGTAAAATACTTTTATAAAATTTAATATTTTGTACTTTCTTTCCATGTAATAATTTAGCAAATTGTTCCACTGAAAAAAATTCATTTTATTCAAATATTCCGTTACTCGACTACATAATCAAACATTATTTTATTTACTAATTACTTATTTACTCAGAAAAAAAATTTAATGAATTAAATCGTATTCAATTTAAAAATATATTTATTGGTTCGAAAGCAAAAAGGAAAAAAACCAAAGACAAAGAAAATATTTGATTAAAATAGAAATGATTTAGTTCAAATATTTATTTGTTTGACAAATTGTCACACAACCGATTATTTAAATCAAATGAATTTTTTCAGTGCAATTACAAATTGATGAAATGATTTGAAAATATTTACATTCTCATCACATGAAATTACATTAAAAAAATTATTATTAAAAATAAAATATAAAAAAGAATAAATATAAAACAATAAATATTCTAATAAACAAAATGAAATAATGTAAAATAGTTAATGTTTATTCGAAAGCAGTACGTATGAATGAAACAGATACTAGAATCACATAACTGAATAGCACCTACGCATCCAACAGAAATATAATAATTTTATCGCTTTCATATGATTGTATGAGCGATTAATGTGTGTCGTTGCGGAAGTTTGTATCGGATTTCGTTTGACTTTTCGGCAGTTTCGATAAAAGTGACAAAATTCATAAAAAGAACATGAAAATTCAAATTCAATACAAAAAAAATACTTAAAAAAAATAATTATTACTTGAAAAATAAATAATTTAAAAAATTTTTCCCAATCAATAACTAAAAGTATTGTTTTACTCCTCGTTAAGCAAATTTGAAACTTAAAAAATAAAAAAATTCTTTACAGATAAAATTAAAAACTAATCATTAATTTTTTTTTAATAAAAGTAAAATTAACTGCTGGTATATTTCGAAAACAATGTTGAGAAAAGTTGCTTTATCGATTTTACAAGAAAGAAAAGACGAAGACAGCGACAAAAATCTTTTCATTGAACTTGTGAAAGAAGTTTTTTAATGAATCATTGTAGGAAAAGTATAAGTAATTGAAATATATTTTTCAAGTCCAAGATTAAACTTATAATCTAAGGTAAAAATAACCATTTCGTTATCTTTTAATCTCAAGCTTTTGAAAAGTGTTTCGTGAAATTCTTCGATGGAGGCCAAATTCATAAATATCTTGTAAGGAGATGAATAAGATTTCCTCAAAGATCACATATCTCTCTGGCTTTCAAATTAGAATCTATTTGTTAAATTGGTATTTTCTGAATCAGAATTCCACAAAACTAAATCACAAGATTATTTGTTTCTTTCCAAATAACTGATTAATTTCTTCATCTAAAAATAATTTACGGGACATTCCTCACGATGATAAACAAATCTTTTGTGAACAAATTTTTAACCTTTTTTTGCAAAGCGAAACAAATAATTAACATTTTCAACTTTTTCGCAAAAGGAAAATTAATTTTTGTGCAAAAAGAAACAATTAATAATTTAATTTTTCAATTTTTTTATGTTTCTGTGAATGTTTTATTGAAGCGAACTTAAAATTAGTTGTACTTTCGATATTAAACCACATGCAGAAATTGGAAAAACATACATTTCGGAAATGTCCTCCCTCGAGGAAGGATCGTCCATACTATCAGCGTGATCACTACCTCCACCATAAGCGGAAACGCGTCCCCGTTCGCTGCTACTACGTGTACTTCCGGTAGCGCCGCCTCCACGATGATCTCCTGAAAATGTAAATAAACTAATTAATTACGAAGTCGAGCTTATTGCCATGTCCAAGGTCTGCAAAGTCAAAAGTGTTTAAAAATTATCAAGTAACCCAATTTCTAAAAGTAGAAAATGCTTTATTTCATTTTCAACACTGACAACCGTGCGTAAAATAATTCAAAAATGGAAAAATTACGAAAACCAATAACAAAAAAAATTTACGAATCAATAGAAAATAATATAGTGGTAATAACAATAATAGTAAAAATAGAATAGTAGTAAAAATTGAAATAGTACCAAAAATTTAGGAGCTTATTAAATAATTAAAAAATTAACTTTTTTTTCTTTTACTGAATTACTTACGACCAGAGCTTTCACGCTAAAAAGCGCGTGCACATTCTAAGTCAATTGTTAAAAGAATTGTATAAAAAATTATTTATTAATGATTCATTAATCATTAATTAAAACTATACCTACAATTTATGTTCATCGTTTATTTACATTATTACATTTAAAGTAATAATTAAAGAAGAAAGAAATTAATATTAACAATTAATTAACGTAGAATAACAAACATTGCTTATCAAATACAATTTTTTAAATTTATTCCTAAGAAATCCCAATTTTTTTAAATCGTGATTCAAAAATAAGAAATTAAGCAAATTTTTTAACGAAAAAAAAAATACTTAATATTTTGTTCAATAATTTTCGAATTTTTTTGAGAAATAAATAAAAAAATCCTGCATGATTTCAAGTGGTCAAACAAAATTATTTAACAGAACTTTTAGTTTTTTATAGAAAAGAAATGAAAAAATGGCATGATTTTAATTTTTCAATTAGTTCAATTACTTATGACTCTTAATTAAATTTTCTAGAACATTTAAATATAACGGTAAATAAAGCTTTAAGAGTACTGGGGCGGATTGTTAGATCATCGAGAGATTTCTATGATCCCTTGGTGTTAAAAACGCTTTATTTTACTTTGGTAAGATCAGTTCTTGATTTTGCCTCTATAATATGGGCCCCTTACTATGAATGTCACCAAAAACGGCTAGAGCGGGTCCAAAATCGTTTTCTTAGATTTATGGCGTATCAGCTTAATGTTCATTATGACAGATTTTCGCATGACTATTAACGGACTTATCGATTCTCCTTCTATATTATCTCTTATTTCTTTATCAGCGCCGATTATTTCCACTAGAAGTGTTGCCACTTTCCGTATACCCTTCCATCGTACTAATTATGGTGAGAATTGTTCATTGTCACGTATTTGCAGAGAAGCAAATTTCTATAAAGATGTAAATTTTTTTGGCTCCTCACACTCTGCTCTTAAAGGACAGTTGAAGTTGTCACTGATTAATGTGTTTTAAATAGCATACGAAAATGCTTGATGTTTTTATGTACTGCTTATATATGTTTCTTATACTATTATAATTTTTCTTTTTTGTAAATGTAATCAAGGGTATAACCCGTTAAAGTTGTAAATAAAATAAAATAAAAATAAAATTATAATTTCTGTTTGAAGTAAGGGAAAAATTTGCATAATTTTTCTTTCTCATTTCAAAATTTAGCGCGACAAAGCAAAAAAACTGAATAAATGAAAACAATTATTTTTTAAAATTAATAAACATTTTTTTGAATTATTAAAAAAATACTAAAAATTTTGTAAAAAGAAATATGATTGACTAATTAAAATTATAGAAATTTTTAAAGATTTCAATTTTTAATAGGTTTTAATTAAAAGTTATTTTTTTAATTTTTAAAAATATTTTCGAAAAAATTCAATTATTTTTTAAAATTTTAATGAATCTTTCGTCGCAATTCAATTATTTTTATAAATAATAAAAATTTTTGCGAATGAACGAAATTATTATTTTGTTTAATATTATTTTTATTATTATTTTTATTATTTAAATAGTTATTATGTAAATTTTTATAGTGAAGAAAACTTTTCTTTACTTTTGACTAAATACTTGAATTTTCTCTCTCAATAAAAATCTTAATGCGTTTCAATTGTATAAGTTTGACAACAGTTTGTATCTAAACTTGGATTCTATTTGACTAGAATAATTAAATTACTGCGTGTGCATGATCGATTTAAATGACAAAAGACACAGCAAGTTTTCTTTACAATAGAAAAAAAATATTAAGTAACCATCAGTTTGCTTCGTTCTTTGCTTTTTTTTGTTTCGGAAGCTAAAAAAAGAATTTTTTTTCTTTTCTTTTATTTTTGTCGCATGACTTCTAGAATGAAAAAAGAAAAATCTTTCGTATTACTCTCTGTTTATTTTACAAGTTTGGGAATGGAAATTCACGTTACTCTATTTTTTTCGGAAACTAAAGAAAAGAAAGAAAAAAAACTCGTTACTTTAATTTTTTATCATGAAAAACGTTTTTCCCCTCTGTAAACAAAGTTAATTTCGTTTCTCTTTTAATTATTGAATTTTTCAATTTCGTTAAATTAGTGAAAATAAATTGAATATTATTTTTTTTGTTTTATTTCTTAATTGATGAATTAAAATTTAATTAATTGGAATTACGACTTTTAGAGACACCCGTGTGGAAATTGCCAAGGTTTGCCAATATTGATTATTGGGTCTATAATGGTCCTAGCTTGGAATGTACCTTAACCTGGCCCTAGCTTGGTAATAGCTAGAGCTTCTTGTTAGATTATAAGTTATAAATATATTTAAAAATATGTATCAGTAATTGTTTATGTGTAATTTGAAGTGATATTTAAACATCTCATAGCAAAATTGAGACAATATTGAACTGAAATTTTTACTTTTAACTTTTCATTTGTAAAATTTGACAGATTATTTTTCAATGTTGGGCGCATAAGTTGACTAAACATTGCATGAATGTTTACAATTTTCTTTAATTTTTTAAGTTTTTCAAAACTTTTTAAAATTTTCTTTAAACTTCCTCCTTTAAAGAAAAAATTCATTTAAATTAAAAAAATTTTTACTTCATGCAATGTTCAGTTAACTTTTGCACCCAACATTGAAAAACTGCTGACATTAAAGATTTATTTAAAGTTTCATGAGCTTTGATTTAAGCTTCAGTTAATTAACTCAATTAAAATTTTCGTTACAATATATTTTTTAAGTTAAATTTTTAAAACCGTTCACGGATTTGTTAACTTCTGTTAAAATCATATTTTGTTGAATGAAACTGAAGTTTCCAACGTTTACGTCGACGAAATCAGATAAAAACTTCAATTTTTAAATAACAATTGACTTTCCCTCCCCGATTGGATTAAAAATCTATGCAGGATGTAATGAAAAGAACAATTAAGTTCTTTTTATCAGAAATTATTTGCATCTTGATCTTTAAAAAAATTCTTTTCTCATTTTGCGTCAACGAAAATGTTACTGACTTCAGTTTTATTATTTTGAGGCATTTATAATGGAATAGTTCATATGACTTATGATGACAAGAATAACCTGAAGTATCATGCAACGCATCGTACCGAGCGAGCGTGGTTAAGTGGTTAGGTTATCGGTTTACGAATGTTAGGGTCGTGCGTTCAACTCCCAACGTGTGGGGATTTTTTCTCTGTTAGTATATAGGAATTAAGTATTATAAATTACATGATAAAAAAAGTAGGTAAAAAAAAGTTGAAATAATGAATCTCAATAATAATAAATAAGAATAAATAATTTTTTTTAAATAGTTAATTAAACTGTTCCTTTTATTGAGCCTAACTAGATTCTCTAGGTAGAACTAGGCTAGAAGAGCGTGACGTTTCAACCTAGGGCCTACAAGGATAAACAAGCTAGGACCAAGTTAATAAAGGGGAAATCTAGGTAGAACCAATAAAGGGCCATTAGAAAATTTCCACACGGGCAGGGATAAGTTATGGATTTTTTTCAATTTTTAATTGACTTGTGGCAAAAAATATGTTTGAGTAATTAGGAATTAATTACTTTTAGAACATAGATATAATTAATTAGTATTGTTACAATTTTCCTCAACAAAGCGACTATTAAATTCGTGAGAATTTTTCGCTGGAATATTTGATACAATTGAAGTTATATACCTTGAGAGTGCTTGATACAACTTAAACATTCTTTTCGTTTTAAGAACCAAGTTTTTTTTCTTTTATTTCTGTTAAACTCAGATTCATCACTTTACCAAGTTTATTCTCTCCTCAAGAATTTCTGTCGAGAGAAAATATCGTGTTCTAAAAATTTCATCTTACGATAATAATTATTTATTTTAATAATTTATTTTATTATTAATTTAATTTCATTGTCAATTATTGAATTCTGCGATATTATTAATTTAACGAAAATTACTTTTTCTATTTATTTAAAAAATTGACTTGAAGTGAAAATAAAAATTTTTAGGAAAGTTTTTGAATAGTGAAGAATGTCTGCAAAGGGAAATAAATTTTCTGGTGAAGGTTTTTCTGTATATACGATTGAAGAAACAAGAAAGTTCACTTCTCTTTGGATAGAAAAAAAATCTAGAAGGCTGGAAGCCAGATGTCTTTCTATTTCAATTTAAATTCGCAAACCTCCCTAAAAATCGATCGTCTCATACATCTTTTATTATCGTCGGAACAGATAGTCTTTGTACTTGGAAGAAGGCTCTTATATCCTTAAGCCAACAATAGTACGTCGTCTGTCTTATCAGATTGTCCACCGGAAATTTAAACAGTTTCTACCTCCTTTAATCATTGCGATATCCTTCGTAGAATTTTCATTTTTCCTCCCCAACATTTACCTAGATATACTATATAAAGCTTTTTTACTTTAATGGAAGAAAAATTATATTCGTGAATTTCAAATAAATTTCAAGAAAAAATAGCAATTAAAAAATACCTATAATGAACAAAAATAATAGAAAATTGCAAAAAATGTTTATTTTACTTTTAATTTTTTTATTTATTTTACATATATATAATAATCTTCGTATTCTTTCATTCATTCTGTCATTAATTTGAAGTTAGTTTTTATTTTTTTCATATAAAAAGCTTTGTATGACATTTAAATTATAGAGGTATTTTTTT